CAGAGCCCTGCCCCAGCTCCCAGCTCTGTGCTGAGCCAGAGGAACGGCCCAAACCTGCAGCAGGCCTGCAAGGCCCTGCGCGCAGTTTGCTGTGCCGGGGTGCCTGCTCAGGCCAGGGCAGCGACTGCCCTTCCCTGCTCTACAACACAGGTGGCTCAGCTCAGAGCACAGCTCTCCCCAGCCTTGTCCCGTGGCTTTCAGCGATCCCGCAGGAAACTCATAATACGGACGGGAACAGAGCAACCCCTGTCCCGCACCAGCTCCCAGAGGGCAGGAGCTTTCAAAGCCTCTTTGTGCTAAGTGGAATTGCGCCTGCTCCCAGAGAGTGGACTCGCATCCAGAAATATTTGCTCGGAGCGAAAGTCCTCAGCCCTGTGGTCCTACTGCTAAAGCCTCTGTGGGCAGCGAAGGCTCCTACAGTAACCATGGACTGCACTGGCCTTGATATCCCTGTGAACTGCCTGCCAGGGGACACCGAGTCATCCCAGCAGGCACGCTCAAGTCCCGAGATGAGCACTTACAGTCATCTCATGGAGGGCAAAGTGAAACCACCACCTGAACAAACCAGAGGTACACCCAGGAGTCCTCACTCCAGCTCCAGGGAGACCTGCTCTCTGTCCCTCTGGCTATTCACACTGGCCATGACTCTGGAAGGCTACTGGGATCTCTGGGCTGGGAGAAGAGGAAGAGCCTCCCTGGAGGCACAAGGGGATCCCAGCAGCCTGGAGAGCTATGCCAGCAAGGGGAGGGGGAAGGACGCTCTTTTAGGTTTTAAGCTACAGAAAGGTGCTGCAGGGTGCAGTGAAGTCCCAGAACTCCCCACGAGCGAGCGGGGTTCCTAGACACCATAGTGGGGGTGCAGGCTGTCAATCACAGACTTCACGAAGTCAGAAGTGGTGGAGTAACCGCCCAAGTCCCGTGTCCGAACCTAAAAATCCAACACAGGGAAGGGGAGAAACAAGGGAGAAATGTGGTCGTGAACCAAGCAAAACGATTACGAGAAGGGAGAGGAGAGCAGCTTCCCTCTACGCACCCTGCCAAAGACCCCAGCCGGGCTGCAAGCTAGAGAAAGGCCATCAGACATCCCCAGCCCTGCCAGGCCTCCCCTAGCCAGCAAACACCACTAACAGCAGCAGCAGCATTCCCCTGAGACAAGCAGAGAAGGACTGAATACAGCAGCAGCTGCAAGCACACAGGTTTCCGAGCTGCTCACTGGGCTGGAAATGGGCGTGGAGGTGCTGACACAGCACCTCTGTCCGAGGCTCACACTTGTCCGAGAGGGAGAACGCGGAGCTTCTTCCTACCCATGAAGAGCTCCTACAGAGGCTACAGATAAGCAACAAGGCCAGTTGCCCAGTACTCACTTTTCCGACTTTGATCACCTTCTTCACTGCATCCGCAATCAAATTGGAGTGAAATTCCAAGCTAGAAAAAGGAAAGCGACGACGGTCAGCCCCTTCATACAGCAGCCTTCTGCCCGCCCCTCAAAACACGTCTGCAGCCCAAAGGAAGGCTGAGGCAGCGCTGCCCTCTGGGCACCATGCTGGCCATCCCCTCCCCATCCCACCGCACAGCCACAGGAGGAGGCACCTACTTGAGATGTCGCAACATGTTGGCAGCTGAGAGCAGCATGGCAGTGGGATTAGCAATGTTCCTGCCCACGGCCTGGGCAAACGGGTGGCGGGCACCCTGTGGGAGGAGAAGCCACAGTGAGGGACCGCATTCCACACTCCTGTCCGAGTAGCTCCCCAGATAGATAGATAACCCAGGGTGCTGACAAGGGGCAAAGCAACAGACTCCAGGGAGCTGAGAGCAGGGAGAAGACTCCTCACCATCTCGAACACGGCGTACTCTGCGCTGTAGCTCTCGCCAGGAACCACACCGGCACCGCCCACCAAGCCAGCCGCTAGGTTATCAATGATGTTCCCGTAGAGGTTCGGCATGACCAGGACATCAAACTGGTAGGGGTTCTGCACCAGCTGCATGGAGGGAACAGGAGGAAATGAGGCCTTGCACACCAGTCCTGCCCAACATGGGCTGGCACACGCGCAGCTGGCAGCCCGACAGCCTTCAGGACAAGGGAGTGCGAGGTGAACCAGGTGGAGCAGCAGAACACCCCATGTCTGACAACATCCCCAGACCGCACTCAAGTGACAGCAGGGAGTCCTACTGAAAAGGGGATCACCGTCAGCTGCTACACACCAACTTCCCCTGGGAGAGTCTTGCAAGCCCAAATCAGACAGCTGTAAACACCCCTGACAGCCTCAATACCTGCAGCTCCTGCTTTTGGCTGGACCAGAGCAGGGAGAAGGCCAGTGGCTTTCAGTTTGTGCAAGGAGCAAACCTCAGGCTAGGAGACAGGGATGGCCAACGGGACCTTTGTAAGCTGTCAGGAAGCTCTAGAGCAGCATCAGCTTTTCAGGTTTCAGACCATTCTTTATCCCCTCAGCAGCAGATGCATTATGAATCTGGGACAGGGACAAGGTAGGCAAACCAGGTCCTCACCTGCATGCAGCAGTTGTCAATTATCATGGTGTCAAATTTGATCTTGGGATACAGTTCTGCCACTTCTTCACAGCACTGCAGGAACAGCCCATCGCCTAGTTTCCTGAGAGCCAAAAAGCACATTAACATGCCTGCTCGCCAGGACAGCGGCAGAATCGCTACAGAACCAAGTAATTCAGTAGCAATTGCTGTCCCACCACTGCAGGGCCCAGGAAGACAGGCGACTCTGGAGCACCTCACACCACTGCACACACAAAGCCAAACAGGCAGCGAAGCCTGGGCCTAAGGGGAACGATGAAGGATCGGCTTTGAGTGCCAGAGGTTTTCCCCTTCTCAGCTGATAGCCTTCACGATGCAGCTGTCAGGCCTCAGCTATGCTCATACTGGAGATGAGACCATACACCGGGGCGGGGGTGGCGGGGCGGGGGGGAAGCTAGTGCCAGGGAAACTCCAGCCTGTCTAGAATCAGACTGGTGTTGCTCTGATCAGGATCAAAAGCGGAGCGAGCAACAAGGCCTGAGATGTGACAGCAGTTGTGAGTCTCAGCACAATCAGCAGACATCCCCCCAAACCCGCTCTTGGGGCACTCACATAATGTTGGCTTTGTGCACAGCTGTGACTTTGGAGCGCCCTTTTTTGGTGGCATAGTCGAAGGCAAACTTGGCAATGCGCTGCGACTTGGCCCGCGTGATAATCTTCAGGCACTCGATGACTCCCTTTGCACTCTGGACACAAAAGGGAGCGTGAGCAGCCATGCGATGCATCGTGTAGCCCAGTGCCCTGCCTCACAATTTTTCTACCTCATCCACCTGCACCACTCTGATAGTCCAGGTGCTGAGACACAGACAAGGAGTCTTTGCCTCCCATCAAGAGGTTCCTCAGTACCCAGTGCTCCTTTGCCTTTTTCTGGCATCACCCCTAAGGCAGCCGCTCACCACCCTCCTTGGGGTCTGTGTGTATTCAGGCCTCCCAAGTATTCTTCACCCTGTTTCCGAGGCCTGTTACTGTTACTTGCTACGTAACTTTTGCTCCAGCCAGTTGCTCAGTCGTGCTGAACGGGTCTTGCACGCAAAG